ATTTCTCGGGCTCTCGACCTCGAAATTCGACTCCGGGCATATGCCCGAGTCTCATATTTTTCTACGGACCCTCCGGGACCGTCAAATCACGGGTCCGGGTCCGTTTACCAAAAATGTTGACCAAAGTCAACTTTAATCATTTTAAAGCCACATTTTGAAATTTTTCACAGAATTTAACATATAAGCTTTCCGGCTACGCGCCCGGACAGCGCACGCAAATCGAGGCAAGTAGAAATAAGGTTTTCAAGGCCTCGGTAGCACGGAAAAGAGAGAAATCCGGTGATGACCCTTTGGGTCGTCACATTCTCCACCTCAAAAACAACCGTTCGTCCTCGAACGGACAAAAGAAAGAAGTACTTGAGTCGGGAAATAGGTGAGGATAACGGCTCCGCATATCAGACTCGGACTCCCAGGTCGATGCCTCAGGAGGCTAACCTCTCCACTGGACACGCACTGAAGGAAAACTCTTCGACCTCAACTGTCGAACCTGCCGGTCTAGAATAGCTACCGGCTCCTCCTCGTAAGACAGATCCTTGTCCAACTAGACAGTGCTGAAATCTAACACGTGGGCTGGATCGCCGTGATACCTCCGAAGCATGGACACATGAAACACTGGATGCACGGCTGACAAGCTGGGCAGCAAGGCAAGTCTGTAAGCCACCTCTCCCACACGATCGAGAATCTCAAATGGGCCAATGAACCTAGGGCTAAGCTTGCCCTTCTTCCCAAATCTCATCACGCCCTTCATAGGCGACACTCGGAGCAAGACCCGCTCACCAACCATGAAAGCTACATCTCGAACCTTACGATCCGCATAACTCTTTTGCCGCGACTGAGCCGAACGAAGCCTGTCCTGAATGATCTTGACCTTGTCAAAGGCCTCCTGAACTAAATCTGTACCCAATAACCGAGCCTCCCCCGGCTCAAACCATCCGACCGGAGACCGACATCGCCTACCATACAACGCCTCATATGGAGCCATCTGAATGCTGGACTGGTAGCTGTTGTTGTAGGCGAACTCTGCTAAAGGCAAAAACTGGTCCCACGAGCCTCCAAAATCAATGATACAAGCTCGGATCATATCCTCCAATATCTGAATAGTCCTCTCGGACTGGCCGTCCGTCTGAGGATGGAACGCTGTGCTCAACTGAACCTGGGTGCCCAACTCCTGCTGAACTGCTCTCCAGAAGCGCGAGGTAAACTGCGTACCCCGATCCGAAATAATAGATACTGGCACCCCATGAAGGCGAACAATCTCTCGGATGTAGATCTCAGCTAAGCTCTCCGATGAATAAGTGGTGCAACAGGAATAAAATGCGCTGACTTGGTCAGCCTATCAACAATGACCCAAATAGCATCAAACTTCTTCCGAGTCATCGGAAGTCCAGTAACGAAATCCATGGTAATCCTCTCCCACTTCCATTCGGGAAGCTCAATCCTCTGAAACAAACCACCAGGCCTCTGATGCTCATACTTGACCTGCTGACAGTTCAAACATCGAGCCACATATGCAACAATATCTTTCTTCATCCTACGCCACCAATAAAGCTGCCGCAAGTCCTGATACATCTTCGCGGCGCCCGGGTGAATAGAATANNNNCCCAAAACCCCCATTTTCTACTTTGAATTCATGATTTAGGGCTAGGAAATTAGTGATTAGTGGAAGAAATTAAGAGGGAAAGAAGTTAAGAACAGTTACCTAAGAGGCTATGGAGAAAGAAGCTCTTCAAAATCGCCTATGGAGTGTTAGAAAGAGGAGCTCGTGTGAAGAAATGGCTAAATCCCGAGCTACTGATTCTGTTTTGAACTTAAAAAATTAGCTGGGCAAAAATGCCCTTCGCGTTCGCGTGAATGAGGACGCGTTCACGAAGGGTGGATGGTTTAAGGCATCGCGAACGCGTGGTGCTAATCGCGAACGCGGTGAAGGGGAAGCCTGGGCTATGCGGACGCGGGGTATTGTCCGTGAACGCGATGAAGAGGGACCACTGAAGCTTCGCGAACGCGTGACTGGAACGCGAACGCGAAGAAGGGATTTGCTGTGCAAAAATTGCAGAAAATCTGCTATGTTTTCTAAGTGTAAAACTACCCCGAATCACCTCCGAATCACTCCCGAGCCCTCGGGGCTCCCAACCAAACACACAAACTAACTCAATAACATCCTACGAACTTACTCGAGCGATCAAATCGCCAAAATAACATCAAAAATCATTGAATCAAGCCTCAAGATCATCATTTTCATTTCAAACTTCATAACTTCAAATTTTAGATATTTTGGTCCGAAACACGTCAAATGACATCCGATTTCGACCAAACATTACAGAAAGCGCTTAACACATATTTTAGACTTGTACCGGGCGTCGGAACCAAAATACGAGCCCGATACCATAGTCTTTTAATCAATTTTTATTTCCATTTTCCTTAATAATTTCAGAAAAACAATTTCACAGAAAAATTTATTTCTCGGGCTCTCGACCTCGAAATTTCGACTCCGGGCATGTGCCCGAGTCTCATATTTTTCTACGGACGCTCCAGGACTGCCAAATTACGGGTCCGGGTCCGTTTACCAAAAATGTTGACCAAGGTCAACTTTAATCATTTTAAAGCCACATTTTGAATTTTTTCACAGAAATGAGGTTTTCAAGGCCTCGGAAGCACGGAAAAGAGAGGAATTCGGTGATGACCCTTTGGGTCGTCACACCTAGGGTCCTACCACCCCCAATGTGAGCACTACCTAGGGTCCCTGAGACTCCTTGAACTCTGACACATTAGGGTTGGTTTTCCAGTCTCGTATGAATTTTGTGTTGAATGTGTGGTTCTAGTGTGAGCATTGCCTGGGGTCCCTGAGGCTCTTTGGGAACTTTGACACTCTGGAAGCCTGGTTTAAGGTATTTTGGATCGCTGCTAGTGTTTCAGAGCTGTTGTGTTTGAAGGCCTGGCTCCCAGGTTTATATTGGGCCTGCTAAGGCTCCCTAAAGTATAATAGACATTGTTGTGTAACTTATTCATTCTGGGCCGTAATAATCTTTGTAATAAACAGATCTGGGGTTTATTAGTAAAAGCTGTGGGGTTTCTCTATATCTTTGTCTGAAAATCGGGTAGAAATCCTGCCCTATAGGCCCCTTTGCATTAGAAATCCTGTCCATAGGATCCATGCACATTTCCAACTTATATGCATTAGTGACCATGTCAATAGAATTCTATCTGTTTGAATAATAACCTTTCCTGGCAATGTGCTTAAGATTCTGCCCACATGTGATTGATAGATATCATGCCTATAGGAGGTAAAAAATCCGTTTCAACTTAGATACAATGCCTATAGGAAATAAACAAATCAGTTTCGACACCTAGAAATCATGTCTATAGGAGTTAATTATTTCTGCAAATTAGAAAGCATGCCTCTAGGATCTAAAGAGATAAATTCAGTTTTCATGAGTTAAAAATAAGTAATTCGCTTAGAAATCATGTTATATGTCTTTAATCAACCTTTAGACATCATGCCTATAGGATTCTGTTCTTGTTAACAATAGGCAAACCTGTAGGTTTATTAAGAATCCTGGGTCAAAAACTGTGATCTCGTGGTGCCTGAAGCATGCCCAGATTCAGAACTTAATCAAATCAGTAGGCAAGCCCGTAGGTCCCAATGCTCGTTTTAATAAGCTGCTTTCTTATATTCTTTTCTGCTCATCTAGATATCCTGCCTGTAGGATCCTAAATCAATAAAGTTGTCTGTTTAATTGCGTGCATTTGTTGTCTATTTGTGGAGGTTAACATGAGCCCTTATCTGCTCCTTACATGATAGTTCTATTTGAATTTTGTTTGTCGCCTAGATTTTTCTCATTTAAGCAACATAGGTCAGTCTAGAACCGCCCTAAATAGAGGTCCTAAATACCTCCAAGACCATAGGAAAGGGACGGGTAGTGCACGCATAAGGCACGAGTTAGAAGCTACTAGAACGCTTAGGTAACAACTGAAAGATAGTAATTGGGTACCAAAGGAAATGATGACCTGTGCGCTAATGCGATGTGTGGCACCCAAACTTGGGGAAAGTTACCAAGTATTGCATGGAAATGATCCTATAGGCTAAAAAACCTAGGACCCCTTTAATTCTTTTTTTAAAGTAATATCTATTTGTCTAAATTTTTTTTCTTCCTTTATAAGACTAATTCGCTTAATTTAAGTTCGGTCGGGACCCACCGTTGTGGACCTCAGGGGTGCCTAACACCTTCCCCTCAAGGTAATTTCGAGCCCTTACCCGATCTTTGGTGATGTAAACTGGTTATATGTGTTAATTGCTTTAGGTGCCTTAACGCACCTTAATCCGTTAGGTGGCGACTCTTCAAATCCCTTACCTCATCCCAAAAGGAAAGGAGTTGTCCCAGAAATGTCGAAACACGATTTTGCGAGAATAAGGGGGCGCGATAAATTGTTGGTGATGGGAGATTCATATTTGCTTATTCGGTAGGCTCAAGGTAATTGGGAAACTCGATACATCAAGCTCATTCCATATAGACAATATGTGGAGGATCGTAGCAAAAGGTTCTAGTCCATTGAGTTCAGGTATATTCCCAGGTTTCCCAATGAATTAGATGATGCCTTGGCCACCCTGGCCTCAATGCTTCCACATTCGGGTAGTACTCATTACTCACATTGACCCATTAGAAATTAAAATTGGGGATCAACATGGTTATTGCAATACAATTGAAGCAGAACCGGATGGTGAACTATGGTACCGTGATATTAAACAATTTTTGAAAACAAGAGAATATCCGGAAAATGCTAATAGGGATCAAAAAAGAACTATTAGGCGACTCTCTAATGGTTTCTTTTTGAGTGGGGAAATCCTATACAAAAGAACTCCGAATTTGAATTTGCTGAGATGTGTGGATGCCAAAAAAGCTAAAATGATTATGAATTAGGTGCATTCGGGAGTTTGTGGTCCGCACATGGATGGATATATTCTAGCAAAGAAAATCCTTCGGGCATGATATTATTGGCTTACTATGGAACGAGATTGCTTTCGTTTTGTTCGCATGTGCCACCAGTGTCAAATTCACAGTGAGTTGATTCACTCGCCTCCTTCAGAGTTGTATCCTATGTCGGCTCCTTGGCCTTTTGTTTCTCGGGGAGTGGACGGCATCAGCCCAATCGAGCCAAAAACATCAAATGGGCACAGATTCATCTTGGTTGCAATTTATTACTTCACCAAATGGGTGGAAGCTATTACATTGAAAGCAGTTACCAAGAAAGAAGTAATAGACTTTGTTCAATCCAACATCATCTGTCGTTTCGGTATTCCAAAAATCATTATCACGGATAATGCTGCTAATTTGAATAGTCATCTGATGAAGGAGGTATGTGAACAATTTAAAACTGAGCATCGCAATTCTACTCCTTACCGGCCCAAAGCTAATGGACCTGTTGAAGCTGCGAATAAGAACATCAAGAAGATTCTTAGGAAGATGGTCCAAGGGCCTGGAGAATTGCACGAGAAACTGCTTTTTGCTCTTTTGGGATACCAGATAACTATCTGTACATCAGTTGGCGCAACACCCTACTTATTCGTTTATGGAACCAAAGCGGTCATACCTGCTGAAGTTGAGATTCCCTCTCTCCCAATCATTGTTCAAGCAGGGATTGAGGACACTGAATGGGTGAATTCCCGATTGGAACAGTTGAGTTTGATTGAAGAAAAGTGTTTGGCAGCAGTTTGTATTTGTCAGTTATACAAACAAAGAATGGCATGCACTTACAATAAGAAAGTGTGACCAAGACAATTCGAGGTAGGAAAACTTGTTTTGAAAAGTATCTTTCCACACCAGGAAGAAGCAAAAGGAAAGTTCGCCCCGAATTGGCAAGGTCTTGTAACGACCCGACCGGTCATTTTGAGCTTTTGCACTTTGATCGCCAGTTCCCGGCATGACTTGCCCCGTGTTATGCATTATGACTAATGTAGATCGTTGGTTTTGGTTTTCAGGAAGAATGGGAATGAAATTGAAAGACACAGTTTCAGTTGAAAGCTTTTGAATTGAAAGGTTTGACCGGGAAGTTGAATTATTTGTATATGAGCTCGTACCGGAGTTTCTATGATTTGGTTAACTTCGTTATGATTTTTGACTTGGGAGTGTGATCGGAAGTGATTTTGAAGGTCCTGTGATGAATTAGGCTTGAATTGGCGAAAATAGTATTTTGGCGAATTCCGGTTGATAGGTGAGATTTTGATCCGAGGGTCGGAATGGAATTCCGAGAGTTGCTGTAGCTCCGTTAGGTGATTTTGGATGTGTCTGCAAAATTTCATGTCATTCGTTGGTGTTTTGGTCGGGTTTTTGATCAAATGCGTATTTCGGAAGTTTTTGAGAAAACATAGGCTTGAATCCGGTGAGAATTGATGATTTTAGCGTTGTTGGATGTGTTTTGATGTTTGGAGCAAGTTTGAATAATGTTTTAAGGTGTGTTGGTGCTTTTGGTTGAGGTCCCGGGGGCCTCGGGGTGATTTCGGATGGTCAATCGGACCAATTTTTGCCTTTGAAGATTGCAGATTTCCCAGCTATTTTGTTGCAGAAGAATTGGCCTTCCCGTTCGCGTTGGTGAGTCGCGAACGCGTAGAAGGGAATTTCAAGATCAGTGTTTTGGCCTTCGCGTTCACGTCTTGGGCCTCGCGCTCGCGTAAGGTCGTTTGGTTGTTCATCGCGTTCGCGTTTCAGAGGCTACGTTCGCATAGAGTTGTTTGGCGCGTGAAGGTCCCAGAGCAAATGCTCTTCACGTTCGCGGGTGAGGGGACCGCGTTCACGTAGGTTCAGAGACCCAACGCATAAGAGAGGTATGGGATGTGTAATGATTTTTCTTCTAGATAGGATCAATGGAAGTCCTTGACTAGTTGGGTGCATAGATGTCTGTGGCTCGGAAGGGAGATAAAAGTTTTCCTGTTATCCTTGGATGGTGTGATATATGCGGTATGTTGTGGACGATCGAGATTTGCGTGTATGAGGTTTCAATTTAGTTCTGAAAGGAAGTTCATAACACTCTTAGGCAGCGGGCCTCAGATTGATTAAGGAAATGGTTTTGTTATTTGGAAATGATTTGACAAGAGTATAGGTTTCATAAAAAGGGCAATGTGATTATTACGGCACTTTCGGGCTGGATCGACTGTTGATATTCGAGTTTGTTGGATGGCACAGAGGAATTTGAGAATATCTAACGTGGAACGATTGGGTCTTAGAGGTGTGGCATATATATTCGGGCGGCAAAATTGGGATAGGATATGGTGATTCATGTGCCGTATGGACGTGGAGATGGAAGTTCTCATATTCAGGCTATGTTGTGATTGTAGATCGCGTGTATCAGCACTGTTTAGCGACTACCGGGATTTGGAGGCCCGAGTGGATCTTTCTTTGCGTGGTATGTTAGGTTTTGGATATGATATTGGGGTGTGGACTGGTTGTTTCCGTGTTGTGTTATTCTGGACTATTTCGATAAGATGGCGCGGATGGCTATGTCGGGAAATGCCACGGATTGAGTGGCGATGTTCGCCGGATTATGTTCTATTGGGGATTTTTATGTTTCGAAGACCTAGCGAACGGCTGGGAAGGATGGCCTTTCTTATTTGGGGTCTTGTGAGCGAGTGTTCTATCCTGAGTCGGCTTGGTTGGCTCCGAATGGCATTGTTGAGGGAGGTATTGATTCGACCGTTGTTGAGCTTATCAGTGATCTGGGGAGATCTATGAGTTGTCGTTCTGTGCTGCGAGATGCTAGGATTTGTTGGTTATAGGCACGTATGGTGCGGTTCAATTGGGGTCTCTTAGTGGAATTCGAGCGGGAAGAGTAATTGAGCGATGCTTAGTGAACGTCGTATCGGTTGTGTCATATCGGGTTGGCATATGTTATTGTTGCACCGTGGGTGTAATGATTTGCTTTGGTTCCAGACGTCAGATTGTGCGTGGTCGTCGATTTTGATCATAGCGACTTGAGGTGTTTCATGTGTAGCAGTGTTTGGATAGGGTCGCGCATTGTAGCGAGGCTACGTGGAAATATGACCTTTCGGGGTAGATTCACGTGTTCTATTTCTATGATGTGAGACGGGGTCTCAGCCTTTTGTTGTGTTGGTACTGATGAGCTTGAGGTACAGCTCTTTCGTTTGGGGTCATTTTCATGATTTAAGTATATTCAGACCATTTCTTATTGGTGCGCTAATTATGCGAGTTGTGGCTTAGGCCTGTATTGATGTATCATGTCACCCGAGTGGTGTGATGGATTCGAGGTGGTCGTTGGGGTCATTAATGAATACGCACAGATTTGATTTCAGCTGGTCGGAAGGATAAATATCAAGGGTCGGTTCAGAAATTCGCTATGGTCCTTGCCAAAGGAGAAGTAACCTTATGGATGGCTGATTTGAGAAATGGTTGTGATTTATTGCGTGTTTCAATATCATTGGCAGTATGTGGAAGTGTTGGAATGGGACTTTAGTTGATAGGAGGTTTTCTATCGGTATTCGGGTGTCGTGTGCAGCTGCTGTGAATGGAAGTTATCACTACATGTGTTTAACTTACGTGGTATATCAGATAATTGCATTTGAGGTTGCAGGCAGGGGTTATTACAGCTGGTTCGAGCTTATTCTGAATAGAGGTGTGAGGTTCTGATCTTGGGTATGATTTTGGAAAATGAAATGGGGTTCTATGGCGTATGGGCTACATTGGATGGTGAAATATCAGTTACAATGTGTTATCGGACTTACATGAGATAGGGTGACGTGGGATTACCCCCAGGTATGTGCATAGTAAGGTTATTCAGCGAGTGGTTGGCTTTTAGAACAACTCTGGGAACGTTCGGGGACGAACGTGTGTTTAAGTGGGGGAGGATGTAACGACCGACCGGTCGTATTGAGCTTTGGCACTTTGATCGCCAGTTCCCGCGCATGACTTGCCCCATGTTATGCATTATGACTAATGTAGATCGTTGGTTTTTGTTTTCAGGAAGAATGGGAATGAAATTGAAAGAAACAGTTTCAGTTGAAAGCTTTTGAATTGAAAGGTTTGACCGGGAAGTTGAATTATTTGTATATGAGCTCGTACCGGAGTTTTTATGATTTGGTTAGCTTCGTTAGATGATTTGTGACTTGGGAGTGTGATCGGAAGTGATTTTGGAGGTCCGGTGTTGAATTAGGATTGAATTGGCGAAGTTAGTATTTTGGCGAATTCCTAGGTGAGATTTTGATCCGAGGGTAGGAATGGAATTCTGAGAGTTGCTGTAGCTCCGTTAGGTGATTTTGGATGTGTGTGCAAAATTTCAGGTCATTCGGAGGTGTTTTGGTCGGGTTTTTGATCAAATGCGTATTTCGGAAGTTTTTTAGAAAACTTAGGCTTGAATCCGGTGAGAATTGATGATTTTAGCGTTGTTGGATGTGTTTTGATGTTTGGAGCGAGTTTGAATGATGTTTTAAGGTGTGTTGGTGCTTTTGGTTGAGGTCCCGGGGGCCTCGGGGTGATTTCGGATGGTCAATCGGACCAATTTTGGCCTTTCAAGATTGCAGATTTTCCAGCTATTTTGTTGCAGAAGAATTGGCCTTCGCGTTCGCGTTGGTGAGTCGCGAACGCGTAGAAGGGAATTTCAAGATCAGTGTTTTGGCCTTCGCGTTCGCGTCTTGGGCCTCGCATTCGCGGAAGGTCGTTTGGTTGTTCATCGCATTCGCATTTCAGAGGCTGCGTTCGCATAGAGTTGTTTGGCGTGTGGAGGTCCCAAAGCAAATGCTCTTCGCGTTCGCGGGTGAGGGGACCGCGTTCGCGTAGGTTCAGAGACCCAAGGCATCGCGTTCGCGTGTGCGTCACCGCGTTCGCGTAGGGTAATTTTTCTCAGAGGAATATTTGTTCATCGCGAACGCGAGAGGGCCATCGCGTTCGCATAGAAGAAAATCACAGCTGGGCAGAAGGGTTTTAAAATATTTCATCCGCGAGCCTAAGTCATTTTTCCTCCATTGTTGAACATTTTGAGAGCTCTTTGGGAGAAATTGAAGACGGATTCGAAGAGGATTGGTTGGAGGTAAGTTTTATGAACTAAAACCGTGATATTATTGTGAAATTAACCTAGAAATTCATGGGAATTTAACCAAAAATGGAAGAACTAGGGCTTGAGATTTTGGAATTTTAATTTGGGATTTGAGGGGCCAAATGGACTCCGATTTTGGTAAATTTCATATGTATAGACTCGTGGAGAGATAAGGAATCCGGTGATGTTAATTTTCTGATTTTTCGAGAAGTGGGCCCGGGCTCGGGTTTTGCGAATTTTGAGATTTTTGCTATTTTTCGATTGTTTTCGATTGGGTATTGTTCCCCTAGCCTATTGTGATGTATTCGCTCTGATTTTGGATAGATTCGACGCGCGTGGAGGCCGAATTGAGGGACAAAGGCGTCGCGAGCTAGAGGTTTTGCCAGTTCGAGGTGAGTAATGATTGTAGATGATATCCTGAGGGATTGAAACACCGGATTTGCACACCGTAGTGCTATATTGAGGTGACTTGCACGCCGGATAGCGAGCGTGGTGTGGAGCACCGTTGGGGACTGTGACTTGGTCCGTCCCGATTGTTGATTTTACCGCGTATTTGACTGAAACTATTTGATATTATCATGATTTAGGCTGATTGCCATATTTGGGCTTCGTGCCAATTATTTGAACCCTTCGGGGATTTTATCACTGTTTCCTCACTATTTGACATACTACTTGAACTCAGTCCTGTTGATTATACTGTCTTACAAACTCGGTCGTTTCTAAATGAACT